GGGGGCGAAATGGGTGAAGGTGGTCAAAAGGTACAAATTTCCAGTTACAAGATAGATGTGTCCTGGGGATGCAATGTACAGCACAGTGCCCATAGTTAATATAGTGACATATACAGTGCTGTATTGTGCATTTGAAAGTTGCTAAGAGAGTAGTTCTCATCATAAGAAAAATAATTGGTAACTGTGTGGTGATGAATGTTAACTAAACTTCCTGTAATCGTTTTGCAATGTGTGTGTGTATATATATATATATATATATATATACACACACACATAAAATCATTATGTTGTACACCAAACACTAATACAATGTCATATGTCAATTACATCTCAATTAAAAATAAAATAAAGCTCGGCCAGGCGTGGCTGAGCCGTGGAGTGTTGACCTAGGATCCAGGCGACTGGGGTTCGATTCCTGGTCAGGGCACATGCCCAGGTTGCGGGCTCGATCCCCGGTCAGGGGCATGCAGGAGGCAGCCAATCAATGACTCTCTCATTGTTGATGTTTCTCTGTCTCTCTCCCCCTCTCCTTTCCTCTCTCTGAAATCAATAAAGATATATAAATTAAAAATAAAATTAAAATAAATTATTTAAATTATTAAAAGAGTCTTCATGGATGACGGAGAATTAGGTCAGCTACTTACTCTCAAATGGTTGGGAGTGGGCAGACGGAAAAGTCTTAGTACTATACTTTCAACTTTTCTGTAGATTTGAAATTGTTTCAAAATCAAAGGACAGTAATATATGCTGGGTGTCTGGCATTGTAATAAAGACTGTTAGTGCCCCCACCCAGGCTCCCTTTACCCTTAATCCATGCATCCCTTTTCCAGCTGCTGTGAGTGGGGGAGCTGTCCTCCCAGAGACACCTGAGTGAGTCATGATACCTTCCTTGCCCCCATCCCACTTTGGCTTGGTGGTGGGCAACCAGTGCCTAACTGGTATGAGGGTACAGTAGTCCCCTTACGTCAGAGTGGGACAATGGGACAACTCTGCAGTGTGAACCCTCCAGAGCACCCTATGGATCAGGGCAAGAATTTATCAGAGTCCTCTTCCTTAGTTGTCTTCTGCTTCCCTATCTTGCTTTCCTCACCTCTTTATAGGTGTTTCCCAAAAATCATGTACACCTGAATCCCTGTGTCAGGCAGCTTCTAGGCAATCTCAGCTAAGACAGTCACATACCAGTTCCATAAATTATAGCTATTATTATTAGCATCAATGACAACACCATTAGATACAACAATAGTGCATATACCATAAGTCTAGATATCTTATTTTATGGATATGTTGAATTTAAAGTCTCCTACCATCCTTATTTCTGCTGTACTACATTATTTTTATACGGAAATTTTACTTTCTTATCAGAAACAACAGAACTCCAAAAAGTGCTCACTTGAGGATTACACTTGTAGAATTCTCTCAAAAAACACCTACGTCAGGCTATTGTTCTAATTAACTTGTTCCACTCCACCCCTTTCAGGAAGCCTTCGGGAATTTCCCTTCCCAGCTGCCTAATCTATAGCTTGGATGGGATTTGGGGATCCCAATTTTCTGATGTCTTAGCAGCAGTGGTTATCAATGAGGGTAATTAATGTTTGCATATTTTGTTGCCTCAATGACTGGGGTGTGCTACCACATTTCACATCCTGCAGGGCATGGCGCATCACACACAATGAAAGATCATCCTAAATTCAACATCCAACACAGGTATCAAATGTCCTGTTGGACATATGTGGACATGAAACAACAGTCTGTAAATGCCTGAGCCAAGTCCCTATTTTTTTTTAAGTGGTTTTGCTAAGGTCACTGGTGATATTCGTGGACTTTTAGATCCAATGGACTTTTCAGTCCTCATCTGACCTATCAGTTGACTACCTCCACCTCAGACTCCTGTGGGCGACCTAGGTGGTTTTGCTCAGTGGTTAGTGCATTGGTCCACAGACAGAAGGGTCCTGGGTTCAATTCCTGCCAAGGGCACTTACCTTGGTTGCAGGCTTGATCCCTGGAACCAGGTGGCATGTTCAAGAGGCAACCAATCGATGTTTCTCTCTCTTTCTTTCTTCCACTCTCTCTGAAAAAGCAGTGGAAAAAATATCCTCTGGTGAGGATAAAAAAAAAAAAGAAAAAAGACTCCTGTGGGCAGTATTGACATTACCCCACCTTGGTTTCCTACCAACCACACTGCCAACGCCCAGTCCCCTTTGCCAGCTGCCCCTCACTGACCAGCTCCTAAATGCTGGAGTTTCTCAGGACTTGATCTCAAACTGTACATTCACCTTAAGCAGTATCATTCATTCCCATGGCTTTAAATAGCATTTCTGTGTACAACTTCAAAATTTATGTTTGGTTCCATACATACAACTGTCTACTTGCCTTGAAAACCTGGTATGTCCAAAACCTGTGCTCCTGAGCACACCCTTTCCCCCAGGAACCTCCATGCATTTAGCCTTTTTTGCTAGAAACCCTTTCTTTTTCCTCCCTTGCCACTTTTAAGCCATCACTACGTCCTGCCAAACTTCACCTGGAGTCTCTCCCCTTCTTAACACCTCAACCATCACCATCTCACTTGGACAACCATGTCGCTATAAAAGCTATGCGTGTCATGTGTTCGGAGAAGCCTCTCTAGTTCCATTAAAAATCAAGTTTATGTGTTATGTCTCCTGTCTCTCTGAACATTTTACTCAGAGAAACCTTTCTAGTTCCATTAAAAATCAAGTTTATGTGTTATGTCTCCTGTCTCTCTGAACATTTTACTTTTTCCTCCTGTCACATCACAGTTTGTATCTTATATAATTACTATCTGATGTTCTACCTTCCCTGGTAGCCAGATAGTAAGCACAATAAAGGCAGTAGCTATCTTACTCACCTCTATATCCCCAGCACCAAGCCCAGTGCCAGGCTAGGTGAACAAGTGAATGGTTTGTGTATTTTTTTCTCTCCCAAAGAATTATGTTCTGTAAATAATAAAAAGCATCATCTTATTGGTTATGCCCCATTCAACTTTTTTTTTTTTTAAACTCTTGGCTCAGTATTTCCTACAAATATATTACATTTGTTTAGTACTGTCTGATTTATAAAATACTGCTTCTCCTAAAAGGAGATGTCTTTCCCTTTTTGTTTTTGACTGTGAAGATTACTCAATTGGGCATTAGATATAGTCATCAAATATTAAAATATAGGAAAATGTTCAAAACATACATAATATAGTTACAGCTCACTATATGTCCAGACACAAAATGGTTTAATTTCATCTAACATTACTTGAGACAATACTGCTGTTTCAAACTACTACATATTTCAATAAGTGGCAAAATGATATATATATATATAAAACAAGAATTTTAAGGCTATTTTCTTATATTAAATATTGGTAGTGTAAAATGGTAGCATCTGTAAGATAAACTATTACACTTCGAAATAACTAATTTGTAACTCTGAAATGAATTCAATATAGAGGGAAAAAATAACAGTTTTAAAAGGATGATTTAAAACGTGAAATGCTTTTCGAAGTATGCATTTAATGGTCTTTTGCATAGTTTATTTACAGTGAACTTTTACAGAACAGAAATGCAAAAATGCAGGAAGATAAAGTCCCCTCAAGCAAAATCCAAAACTGGAAATCTAACATACAAAATCGATACACCAGAAATAGTGTGACATACTGATGTCAGATTGTAAATACTTTATAATTAATATATTTTGGTGCCATTCAAATACTGTTACTCAAATACTCTGATTTTGACAAGGATAGAACATAATACCAGAGAAATCTGCTTTGAATTTTGGAGAGTTTTTTGTCCCTAAAGCAGCTATTTTGAGTAGGTGTCATCTAAAAATGCAGTCTAAGGTGATTCACAAACAGTGGGAAAAAAGCAGTCATCTTCCTTCATTTTGTTAGGTTTTCCTAATGAGGTTAAGTTCTCATTCAACATGCCCTCTTAGTCAAAAGCAATTTTTGGTTTCTGTGGTAATATGTACAGATAACTTCATTCCACATCTGTCATTTCTATTCCATCACTTTCTTTAACATAAACCACTGAACCCAAGGCTTTCTCTGAAAGAGATCCTGTGCCATTCTCTTTACTTCTTGTAAAGTCTTCTTGGTTTGTGTCTTCTAATCTTATTTTCTTGGTGTTTTGAAATAACTGAGTCACTGGTTCCAACTTGTTTTTCTCAGTCCCTTGCATTAAGTGATCATCCACTTTTGAATCCATACACATAGCAGATACCTGAGTAGCAGATTTACTAAGAGAAAATCCCATTGGAACAGCTGAAGAAATACAGTAGTGGAAACGTTTCTTCAACTTGATTGCTTGAGGGGGAAAAAAATGGAACCAAGTGAATACAGTGGGAATTTCAACCAACTTCATGGCAATGTTTGTTTTAATGGAATGTCATGGTGATGATGCCAAAATAAAAAGTAAAACACTTCTACATCTCAGTGTTTACATTTTCTCTGTGGGAGGGGTCACAGGTTCTATAGATTCTTTGAAATTCTATTTCAAATGGAATTTACCAGACTTTTTATGTTTCATCACTTTTCAGGAAATAATAGAACTTCTCTACGTAGCCCTTTCTACCATTCTTGCTATCAAAAATTTTTATTAATTATTAATGGATTAAAGAAATAATTACTGAAGTCCAAACACTCTGCTAGGTGTTCTCCAAAAAATAAAGATGGCCAAACAATTATAAACATTTACCAAGTAATAACACACCATCAAACTATATGAAGCAAAAACTCACAGAACTGAAGGGAGAAATAGTTCTGCTCTAATAGTTGGAGACTTCAATACTCAACTCTCATAATGGATAAAAAAAACCAGACAGAAGACAAGAAAAAGAAGATTTGAAGAACAAATTAAAACAAGTTTGTGGTAAGTTGTTACAGCAGTAGTAGGAAACATACACAAAATAAAAATCTGTCATCTCAAACTCCTCTCTTGTCTCCTCACTCTGTGTCTGCACCATGACCTCACTGCTGTTCCTCAAGCACATGTCACGCCAAACCTCTCCTGCATCAGGGCCTGTGCACTTCCAGTGCCCTCAGCCTGAAGCAATTTTTGAATTGCAAACCATTTCTGTTGGGGATGATTGGTGGCATGGGGCCTGCGACTAAGGGGAGCCAGCTGACTTCTGCTTTCGGCCATGATACAGAAAGGGACCAGATATATCCTCATGCCCTAAATATGCTAAAAACAAAACAACAACAAAACACCAGAAAACAAACAAAAAAAACAGACAAAACACATGAAACCAGGGTTTTGAGATGTTGGGCAACAGGCAGTGCAGGAGAGTAATCCCTAACAGAAAGGAAATAAGGTGAGCCCTGGGAGTGTTCACTGCTTGGAAATTTTAGGCTTCAGCACAAGGAGGAGGAACCCAAATTGAGTTAGTTATTTCAAGGAGTTGAGAAGGGAGAGTTCAGGGTTTGTGGAGGCCAAGGTGGCTAGAATTTGAAGAGAGAGGGGTAGTAAGAGAGAGCTCCAGAGATTTGCAGAGGATTCCCCACAATCCTTTGGCTGAATACTGATCAGTGCATATGTATAAGTAAACTATTGAAGTCTAGGAAAGAACCAGCAAAAAGGAGAAGGCACACCCAGTGCCAAGAATAGAGTTCCCAATAGCCAGAGTGGAAAGAACTCCTCATACATGGAGCTCTGAAAAAAGTCCTGACAAAGGTATTGGCTTGGTAATGGGGCCAAATTTGCTCTAGATAAAGACTATTTTGGACCTAACAAAGCTTAAAATAAGCTTTTAATGCAGCATTGTCCAATAGAACTTTCTGCAATGATTGTCCAATATAGTAGCCAGTAGCTGTGTGTGTACATTTGAAATGTACATTGTACAAATGAGGAACTAAAATTTAAATTTTATTAACAAAATCAAATAGACATTTGCATTTTCTACAGGGCAGCTCTACAGGATCAAACTGTTTCCAAGTAAACTTACTGCATCTCAGAACAAAGCCTAAATATATTTAAAGAAAAACAAAAACCTTCAGCACTACAATGTAAAAGCTGCAGTGTCTGGTAGCCAATAAAAATTTATGAGCTATGGAAACAAGCATAAAAATATGACCCAAAAGAGGGGGAAAAAAATCAATTGATAGAAACATACCTGGAAAGGTCACAAATGATAGAATTAGCATGCAAGGACCTTAACAGCTATTTTAATATATATTCCATATTTCCAAGAAGGTAGAGCAAAGCACGTGCATGATGAAGAAAGAAAAATGGAAGTTATTAAAAAAACCCACATACTTCCAGAAATGAAAATACAATTCTAATGTGAAAAAAATCCCATTGTGGATGGGATTAACACTGCCAAAGGAAAGAATAGTGAACTTGAAGATATAGAAACTATCCAACTTAAAAAAAAAGAGCCCAGTGGGGCGTGGCCCAGCAGTTGCGCCTGGACCTAGGATCCAGGAGATCACAGTTTGCACATGCCTGGGTTGTGGGCCCGATCCCCAGTCGGGGGTGTGCAGGAGGCAGCCCATCAATGACAACTCTCTCATCATTGATGTTTCTACCTCTCCCCCCCTCTCCCTTCCTTTCTCTGAAATCAATAAAGATATATTTAAAATAAAATCAAATAGCATCAAGCAGCTTAACATGCAATTGGAGCCCCAGATTTTTGAGACCATGGAGGTACTCAAAGGCAAAACAGGTTTTTCGTAGTGAAACTTGTGAAATGAAGGAGAAACTAAGGGAATAGAAAACTCAGACCTTAGAATTGCAGCCGACTGTCACAAGGAGAGTGCAGAGACACACTAGGGAAGGGTTAGTTGGGGAAAGATGGAGCACTGACCACTCTGGGTTTTTATTGAGGGAAGAAAATTTTTACTTTCTTGGGCTTGGGAACAAAATTAATAGTCCTTGATATAAATAAAATAAAAAAAAATCTTCACACCCTGGTTTGGCCATAAAGAATCTTCAGTAACATCTAGGTGGTGTACATAAATGCTTACATTTTTTTGTTTTTTCCCTAAGGGAAGTACGTTCCTCCCTCTTATATTAATAATCCCCTCATCCCCCCAAGGCTTAAACTCTAATAAGAGTTTTGAAGTTCGTACATTTTTGCCTATTTCTTTTCAATGCTAGATGAGAATCTTAAAAATAATCTTAGTACCTGAAGAGAAAATGAGATTATACATTGTTCTCCCTAAAATAAATTTTTAGGCTAGTCTTTGAGAGCTCATGCTTCTTTGTAACTATTAATTAGGTATAATTATATTTCAGAGGAAATGTACCTCTTAGGGCCTCTGACTTCTTTATTAAAATAGCAACACTCAATTTAATTTTTTGGTATCTAGCTATACTTACAAAGTATACGATATCTGAAAATGAATGCTACAAAATGTGAGAAAATGTAACAGCGCACATAATGATGAAAAAAATCAGAGCAGAGAATAGAAAAACATGGCACTTAAATATACTTCTATGAAGAAATTTGTTCTAACATAAAATTCGTTATGCCTGCCAATAACATGTTGTGGGAAGAAATGAGTACTTACCTGGCAAAAACAGGAACTGTTAGTCTCTTCAAATGTGAAATTACTTTTGAAATGCACAGGCGAATACTAAGTCAAGATAATCAGAGCACAGCTTTAAAAATCTAGTTATCTATTTCATCTGTGGAAAAGACAGACAAAGCCACCATTAAAGTTCAGAAACCCTTGGGTTATTTAAGAAAGGTGGGACATGTTAAACATTAAATATTTCAAAGACATTTCTTTTCAAGCAGGGCTCCAAAAATTTAGGATAAAATGCAGTTCTCATTGTTTTTTCACTAAAAAGCTCCTTTTCCAAATTTTAGGTAATCGTGATTAATTTTAACATAGTTGGATAGCCAAAAATATTGTAAATTAAAATAGTGTTCCCTAAGACAAGTTTAAATGATACTGAACAGGAAAACAATAAAATATTAAGTATGAATGACGTAGTAGACCCTTTCCTTTTTTTGTTAACCATCACCAGTTTTTCTGGAAAGGGACTGGCGTGTGGAGAAGGAATAGCAATCAGGAATCTGTGCTTTCGTTGCTAGTTCAACCCTCACTGGGCCGTGCAAGGCTGACCGGGGCGCGGGTCTGCAGGCCCCCGGCGCTCACCGAACAGGGCGGCTCTCTGGCTGCCGCAGCAGGACCCCACCTGGGATGCGTCCCCAGCCCCGGCTGCGGCGGCAGGGCGCGCCGACCTCCCAGCGTCCAAGAGCAGCTCTGGGGAACCAGGAGTTTACTGAACGTGGGTCCAGAACGGTGCCTGATCTCTGGCAAAAGTGGCCCAAAGTCGTAGCAGCAAAACAGCAGGTGTTCCAGAGCTTTGGGAAGGTGGCGGAAGGACACAGAAGCCTGCGCATGCGCGTCCCTTCCGCGTGAGGCTGCCGGCCGCAGGTAGTAAGAACTAAATGATGAAAAAGGGGTGGTGGCTGGTTACTAGGAGACCGGACGCTCACGTGGGCGTCGAGGCGCTGCGCGAACGTGCGCCTGCGCGGCGCGGACGGACCAGAAAAAGGCCTTTCCCAGGTCCACTGGAAAGTGGACCTACGCCTCGCTACGTGCGTGGGTGCGCGCGCAGGTCTTGTAATCCCCGCGAGAGTAAGGGTCCAGCCAGGTACGCGTGCGCACGGGGACGTAGGGCGCGCGGGACTGGAGCGGAGCGGAGTCCGAGAGGCGGAGGACAAGCCGGGTTCAGGTACGGAGCGTGAGGGCGGGGCTGGCGGCGCTAACCGCCCCCGCCCCCTCCTCGCTGCGTCCGGTCTCCCTCCACCTCCACCGGGGCGGGGGCCAGGTCGGTTTGGGGTGGGGAGGAACGGGAAGGGGCGGAGGATGGAGGGGCGTGGGATCTGGGTCCCAGGCTGAGGCGCAGGCCTGCCAGTCGCCGGGCTGAGCTCTGAGGTCGGCGGGCGGAGAAGTC